ACAGAAATAACAGAGGCTATAGATATAATAATTTTTAGATTCCAAACTTATTTTTACAATTGAATTTATATTATATAGATATAAGATTTCTCTGTGGAAAAAGCAAAAAAGTTACTTTACATTAAAAAAGCTATTAATGAGTTTCCTTAAACTATTTAGAACTGTACGAAACTTCGAGCAAAGTCTCGATAGTGATCGGGACTTTACTACACTTGCACGTTGATATCGAGCCTAGTAAACCACGTCGATCAAGAAGGAAGGAACGCAAATTATCCTTCTCGGCAATTATCCGATTAGATCGCAGAATAGATCTCCGCCTACTTGTGCGAAGCTGAAGCCTGTTGAGGAGAAAAGGCAACTCTTAAATCGTGTGAAATTTATCAAAAGAATGTAATTGCTCAATACTATGCGAAAGCCTGATTTATAATGTTCACATCAGAGCAGATTGCCTTCTACAATCATCCTCGAAAAGAAAACAAAGCATAAATATGCAAAAGTTTGGAAATTCAACTATTTAAAAAACTAATTCATTTTAACAATACTTTAAATAATATAATAAGGTTCATTGATTTAAACAAGTTAATAAGTGAACAAAGAAAGAGCCATGAGTCAAGCTAGATGTTTAATGCTACATATTAAAATTCATGTATGTTGCACATATGTTTTTATATGTATTGTACACGAATTTTGATGTAGAGCATTAAACATCTTGGTTGGCTCGTTTATTAGTTTATTTTATTTTAAAAAATCAAACATCCATGGAGTTTATAATATTTCAAAAGTTTCAAATAATTCCTATTTTATTCCGATTTATGAACAAGTTAATCAGTTTAATCCTAATCTTGATATGCAGTAATACGACTATCTTAAATATGAAGCGCATCTTCCATTCCTTCGTCGACGCCATAATTTCACAGAAAATTGAAGCGACTTACGTAATTATGTATTTCTTCTGTTTAACAACATAGCAAAATCATTCTGCTTACGAATATTATTCGTCCGTTACGCTAATTAAACACAGCACGCATCAGATCTTTATCTAGAAGATTGTTAGTTTCCTATTCTGTTTTTTTTTCTTCGCTTTTTTCTATGTTTACAATCTTAGATGGATTTTGTGAGGCGTAGTTTCTAAATGACAATAATTGATCATGGACGAGCGAGTCCGCTCCCAGCTTGCAACTGACCGTGTCGCTAGTTCTCATTGTTTCATCTTCAAAACTATGCCACGTCGTTACTTGCACATCCGTTGGTGACACTCCTCGTTCCATATTTGCGTTCCCCTTTTAACGGTCCCTATTATTTAGAAATAATCTTGTATACTCTGACGAGTATGTGTGTAATAAATACGCAAGATAATTCTCGTTTTTTTAATTAATTTATTAGTTTTTTAATATACTTATAAATTAAGTATATAAATATAAAATATATTCTCGTGTGGCAAATTTTATGGACCTTCTGTCTTCAAAATATTTAAATTTTTTAAATACCATCTTTAATCAAAATGTAGTTATGTGCAAGTATTAAATTTTTAACAAGCATTGAAATGGCATTTTATCTATCTATATATCTAAAGATTAAAATTATTTAGCTTCTCAATAATTCATAGCGCGGAAATTAGTTAGATGTAAATTAATTCCTATTCTGAGTAATTCCTATTCTAGTTAGATGTAAATTAATTCCTAAAAATAGTTTCAATAGGAAAATATTAATCGCATACTCGGTTTATTTCAAGATGCACGATTGACAGAAGGAAGGCAGCGATTCGTTACCGTCCCCTCGTTAATTTCCGGCAGGAAGCGTCGAGGACAGAAAAGCGGTGCAAACATGAAAGAAAAAAATATCTATAATCCCGAATTAATTTGCTCCAGGCAACTATAACTCTATCATATTAAATTGTTCCTCTTCAGCAATTAAATATCCATTTAAATTATAAGTCAATTTTCATAAATATTTAACTCTCATACGCAATCAACATTATATATTATTTCAATAAATTTTGCTGCAATATATCGTACTCGTATGTTCAACATTATACAATATCAATTAAAATATAAATTGTGTCAAAACAAAGATTTTTCGCAAACTACAATCTCATAGACACAAATCACCCACAAAATTGAAATATTAATTTATATATTAAAAAGATTCGAAATCCATCATATATATATAGTTCAGCGTTATTGATTATCAATCTTTTAATTTTTAATAAATTTTTTATCTTAAAAATTGAGAGTTAAATTTCAAAATTTCTTTTATCTTATTTTCCTTGCTTTCTTTCTTATTCTCATTACTTGTGTTTTTTAATATTACATCATATAGCTAATGTTATCGATTAGTAATCATTTTCAGTGTGTGTGTTTGCCCTTAGATAATTAAAAATTATCTTGATATAGATAAGATAAATCACACAAAAATGTATCTTACACAAGATGAAAATAATTAACTTTACATTAATCTAGATAAAAAATAAAATTTTAAAAATTTTTAAGATAATTTTACATAATTTTTAAAATAATTTTGTTTTTAACTAATTATTACACAGTTAATTTATTAATTAATGTTTAATTATTAAAACAATTTAGAATACAAAAAATTAATTTTCATTTTAATCTTTATTTTTTAAAAATAACAGTTTTTTGAACATTTTGTCTGACAAACAATTTCTATGTAGAATTAATATTTGATGTCCACAACTAAAAAAGCGCTCTATTGGTATTGATAATGGCAATAATGTGTTATATTTAAAAAAAATTTGTTTGATGCGTGGATATAAATTAAGAACATCTAATTCTTTAAATTTATCTTCTAAATATGATAGTATTGCTTCAATGTTGCTTTGAATTATGACTGATGTTATACTAATCTCAGTTTTTTTATCTACATATATCACGAAAAAATTCTCATCACTACTACTACTAAAAGTTATATAGAAATTTTTTTACAATATTTTTCTACAATCATAGTTAATTTGAAAAATTGAGCATTTCATCTAAAATAAAATAAAGAAAATCTATATTCTTAAAATAATCTAGGTAAAAATATGACAAAGTCATTTGTTCATCTAGATAATGATCTAGATAATTTTATCTAGATAACAGAAAACACTGCACTTAATGTAA